AAATTGGCACCAGCACCAGCACAGGGGTGTGCCTCCACAGGGGGATGACGATCCTGGATTTCTATGTTGGCGGTACTATCTCGGTCACCTCGGAAGCCAGAGACTCACCACCACCACCGAGATCGGGATCGTCTTCCCTCGGTGGAGGCACGCCGCCGATCTTGGTGTTGGTGCCCACCTCCAGGCCTGCGACATCCGTGTGGCCGTCCGAGGCTCCGAGCTTCGTTTCTCGCTCCAGAAGCTTTCTTCATGTGTTCCGACGATCGCCGTGCAAGAAAAGAGCTCTACGAGGTTCCCGGCGGTAACCAGGTTGACGGTTTACCGCCGGTTCCCAGTTGGTGTCCACCTCCAGGCCTGCGGCATCCGTCTGGCTGTCCGAGGCTCCGAGCTTCGGGGGCAGACGCTGTGAGGGGTACCTCCTCGGGCGAGCCGTCCAACCGCCCTGCCGACGCGTCCACCGGAGGGGCGAGGAAGAGCTACCCGCACCAGGAATCGGGAGGGGTACCTCCTCCTCCTTCTTCTTCCTTCCTCCTTCCTCCTTCCTCCTTCCTCCCTCCCTCCTTCCTCCTTCCTCCTTCTTCCTCCTTCCTCCTTCCTCCTTCCTCCTTCCTCCTTCCTCCTTCCTCCTTCCTCCTTCCTCCTTCCTCCCTCCCTCCTTCCTCCTTTCTCCTTCCTCCTTCCTCCTTCCTCCTTCCTCCTTCCTCCTTCCTCCTTCCTCCTTCCTCCTCCCTCATCCCTCCTTCCTCCTCCTTCCCCTCTCCTCCTCCTCTTCTCCTCCTCCTCCACCCTCCCTCCTCCCTCCTCCTACCTCCTCCTCCTGCCTCCTCCTCCTCCTCCTCCTCCTCGTCCTCCTCGTCGTCGTCGTCCTCCTCCTCCTCCTCCTCCTCCTCCTCCTCATCTTCCTACTTCTCCTCATCTTCCTACTTCTCCTCCTCCTCGTTGGGCTCCAAGGCGGCGGGATCGGCCAAGCGAACGGCCCGTTCTCCGGTTCTGGAACCCCGAGCACATCATCTTGGGTAGGTGGTGCTTCCAGTGCCGCGGGACTGCGCGCTTCCGCCACAGAAACCTTCTTCAATCTGAATTTAATGTTAGGTCGGGCATGTCCGCCTACAGGCGGATCTCGAGCGAAAAATGACAAACATTCAAAACATATCCAACGATAATCATCAAATTCGCAAAACAAAAAAAAACGTCCCCAGGCTATTGTTTATACCATGTTTGAACAGTCCTGCATAGGGACAGGCACGACATGAGCTTCATGCTCGGACAGCCTGGGAGGCGCCCTGTGGAGGCGCGGGTGGGCGCGGTTGGGAGGCGCTGGAGCGCGCCTGCGAGGGGTGCACCGACATTGCGGGGGGGGAGGCAGCGTCCACGCCCGCTCTGCCAGAAGAAGAAGAAGAAGAAGAAGAAGAAGAAGAAGAAGAAGAAGAAGAAGAAAAAACGCCACAGACAAAAACTTTTGGCGCTCCGCGCGGATTTCTTGGATCCGCGCCAGGACCCCCCCCCCCTCCCTGGCACGCGGAGCGCGCCAGGGGCGGCGCTGGAGGCGCCGCCAGGAGGGGCCGAGGCGCGGATCCGAGACATCCGCGCGGAGCGCCACTTTCTTATGTGTTTGTGGCGTTTTGTCTTCTTCGATCTATGGGGGCACGAAGCGTCCGAGGGGAGTGCCAGCGTGCGGGGGGGGGGGGACGCCCTACGGGCGCCCCTTCTGGTGTGGCACAGGCGTCGGAAGCAGTCAAGCAACACTCGCGCGCAACATGCGGTGTGAACTCCCCCCCCCTCCCCCGCATGCAGTGTTGGGCCCCGATCTCCCGATCGCGAGTGTCAGGCCAGTGGTGCGTACGCGTTGCCAACTTTGAACTGCTGGGGGGGAGTGCTGCTTAATCTTGTTCCCTCAACCGTAGGTGTGGCTCGGTGGAGCTCTCCATGGGGCACGATCCGTGCGAGGAGTGCCGAAATGGGCGAGGGGAAGCCATACGTGCGCGTTCACTGGATGCGGAGCTCCCTATGGGGCACGATCCGTATGATGGGTGTTCCGAAATGGGCAGGAGGATGCCATACGGGCGCCCTCACTGCTGTAGGTGGAATTTCCTGGGGAGCGCGACCCGTGTGAAGGGTGTAACGAAATGGGCGGGGGGACGCAATACGGGCGCACTCACAGGTGTCGTGTGTGGAGCTCCCTGTGGGGGCACGGTCCGTGCGAGGCCTGTGACGAAATGGGCATGCGGATGGAGCGTGAGGGCAAGAAGAGGAGGGGGAAAGTGAGCGAGTGAATGAGTGAGTGAGTGAATGAGTGAGGCGGAGGAGGAGGAGGAGATTGAGGGGGGGCGCGGCGCTGCGGATTCACGACGAGAGCCCAACGACACGGGAGAGTTGGGGGAAATCGGTGCGTGAGCACGGGCCTTCGGTTCGGGTGCGCCCGCTGGCTCGTCCGCGAGAGCGCCCCTCTTCGGGCGCAGCGTCTCGGGCTCCACCGTCGCCCCGTCGAGCTCGCTCGAGCCTCCCAAGAGGATATCATAACGAGACAGTAAAAAAGGAGGATGAGGAGCGAGGAGGAGGAGGAGGAGGAGGACTAGGAGGACGAGCGAGGACGGGGAGGAGGAGAAGGAGGAAGAGGAGGAGGAGGAGGAGGAGGAGGAGGAGGAGAAGGAGGAAGAGGAGGAGGAGGAGGAGGAGGAGGAGGAGCGAGGACGAAGAGCGAGGAGGAGGAGCGGGAGCCGGAGGAGGATCCAACATCCAATGCTTATTCTGTTAAGCGGCTCCTGACCTCTTTTGAGCATCCTGGGACCGAGGCCTCCTGGGGCCTCTGGAGACCTCCAGAAGCCTACAGAGAGACCTCTGAGCGCCGCCGGGCGTGATGAGGGGTTGCCCTGGGGGGACACTGGCCCGACAATATTCCAACGTCTTGCCGGACGGGGGGCCCGATGCAAATCATTCGCGGCGTTAGGTCTAGGTCGGGTATGTCTCCCCACAGGCGGATTCTGGACGACAAATAAAACATAGTCAAACAAGTACCCCCAAATGGCCAAAACATCATCAACGAATCGTCCCCAGACTATTTCCCAACCCTCCTGCGTTGGGTTCTCGTTTTGAATAGAGCACTGCTCGCGCGAACCTTCCCCCCCCCCCCGTCCCTCTCTTCCCCCCTGCCTTTGCTCGTCGCTGCGTGCCAGCTGGGGGGCTGCGATCTGTGAAACTGTCGCCACTTTCGAGGCCTGCTGGGGGGCCCAGCACAGTTGGTACCCACGGCGGGTTCAAATTTGACCTCGCCACCCCTGGGGGGCTGCGATCTGTGAAACTGTCGCCGCTTTCGAGGCCTGCTGGGGGGCCCAGCACAGTGGGTACCCACGGCGGATTCAAATTTGACCTCGCCATCCCTGGGGGGCTGCGATCTGTGAAACGGTCGCCACTTTCGAGGACCCACCGCGGACTCAAATGGGACCTCGCCATCCCTGGGGGGCTGCGATCTGTGAAACTGTCGCCACTTTCGAGGCCTGCTGGGGGGGCCCAGCACAGTGGGTACCACGGCGGATTCAAATGGGACCTCGCCATCCCTGGGGGGCTGCGATCTGTGAAACTGTCGCCACTTTCGAGGCCTGCTGGGGGGCCCAGCACAGTGGGTACCACGGCGGATTCAAATGGGACCTCGCCATCCCTGGGGGGCTGCGATCTGTGAAACTGTCGCCACTTTCGAGGCCTGCTGGGGGGCCCAGCACAGTGACGCCACGCGCGGACCCAAATGAGACCTCGCCATCCCTGGGGGGCTGCGATCTGTGAAACTGTCGCCACTTTCGAGGCCTGCTGGGGGGCCCAGCACAGTGGGTACTCACCGCAGACTCAAATTAGACCTCGCCATCCCTGGGGGGTTGCGATCTGTGAAACTGTCGTTACTTTCGAGGGCTGCTGAGGGGCCCAGCACAGTGGGTACTTACCGCAGACTCAGATTAGACCTCGCAATCCCTGGGGGGCTGCGATCTGTGAAACTGTCGCCACTTTCGAGGGCTGCTGAGGGGCCCAGCACAGTGGGTACTCACCGCAGACTCAGATTCGACCTCGCCATCCCTGGGGGGGCTGCGATCTGTGAACTGTCGCCACTTTCGAGGCCTGCTGGGGGGCCCAGCACAGTGGGTACCCACGGCGGACTCAAATTTGACCTCGCCATCCCTGGGGGGCTGCGATCTGTGAAACTGTCGCCACTTTCGAGGCCTGCTGGGGGGCCCAGCACAGTGGGTACCCACGGCGGATTCAAATTTGACCTCGCCATCCCTGGGGGGCTGCGATCTGTGAAACTGTCGCCACTTTCGAGGCCTGCTGGGGGGCCCAGCACACTGGGTACACACCGCGGACTTCAATTAGACCTCGCCATCCCTGGGGGGCTGCGATCTGTGAAACTGTCGCCACTTTCGAAGCCTGCTGGGGGGCTCAGCGCAGTGGGTACACACCGCGGACTCAAATTTGACATCGCCATCCCTTGGGGGCTGCGATCTGTGAGACGGTCGCCACTTTCGAGGCCTGCTGCCCAGTACAGTGGGTACCCACCGCAGACTCGAATTAGATCTCGCCATCCCTGGGGGGCTGCGATCTGTGAAACTGTCGCCACTTTCGAAGCCTGCTGGGGGGCCCAGCACAGTGGGTAGTCACCGCGGATTCAAATGGGACCTCGCCATCCTTGGGGGGCTGCGATCTGTGAAACGGTCGCCACATTCGAGGCCTGCTTGGGCGCTCAGCACAGTGGGTACCCACGGCGGATTCAAATGGGACCTCGCCATCACTGGGGTTCAAATGTGACCTCGCCATCCCTGGGGGGCTGCGATCTGTGAAACTGTCGCCACTTTCGAGGCCTGCTGGGGGGCCCAGCACAGTGGGTACACACCGCGGACTCACATGGGACCTCGCCATCCCTGGGGGGCTGCGATCTGTGAAACTGTCGTTACTTTCGAGGCCTGCTGGGGGGCCCAGCACAGTGGGTACCCACCGCGGACTGAAATTAGACCTCGCCATCCCTGGGGGGCTGCGATCTGTGAAACTGTCGCCACTTTCGAAGCCTGCTGGTTCGCCCAGCACAGTGACGCCACACGCGGATTCAAATTAGACCTCGCCATCCCTGGGGGGCTGCGATCTGTGAAACTGTCGCCACTTTCGAGGCCTGCTGGGGGGCCCAGCACAGTGGGTACCCACCGCAGACTCAAATTAGAAGCCGCGTTCGTCCTTGTTCTCCTCCTGCAGTCACGTTTCCTCTGCTGCTGCCGTGCTGACGGTCCGGTTTCCCGCACGTTTTTCTCCTGCTCTGCGTTCCCGACTCCCCATGTCCTTTTCGAGCCTGTAGCTGTCGCTCCTCGTTCTTGTATGGTTCTCCTGCGCATCATGCCATAGGCGCGTGTCCCAAGTAGCTTACACATCAAGTTGATTGTCCATGCAAGTTTCGGCCAACTCCTCGTTTCCATTGATACAAATGGGTTGGGTACGTCACAGGGTATTTTTTACTATCTTCTATTCCTTCTGTAAGGGGACGTGCCCGACGTAACGGAACGTTAGGTCCTCGGGATGGAGTGCCGTCACAACCGCGCGGTCTGGCGAGTTCTGTCCAGTGGCGCTCCGCTGCCCGAATCTGCACGGCTCCCCCGGCCGTAGCGATCCGAGGAGCAGTAGGAGAGTAGGAGGAGGAGGAGGAGGAGAGAGGAGGAGGACGAGAGGACGAGGAGGATGAGGAGGAGGAGAGGAGGAGGAGGAGGTGGGAGGAAGGAGCAGGGGAGGAGGAGAAGGAGGAGGAGCGAGGAGGAAGGAGGAGAAGAGGAGGGGGAGGAGGAGAGGGTGATGAGGAGGATAGGCGGAGGAAGGAGGAGGAGGAGGAGGAAGGAGGCGGAGGAGCCGCACCCACTTGCGCGGCGGGCCGTGTGTCTCGGCGCGCCGCCCGAGCGCCCGAGCGGCGCGGCGGCCCCCCGCCTCGCCGCCGCGGGCGCGGCACGCCCTCGCGGCACGGCGCCGACCGCCGCCGCCGCGCGGGCGGGCACGGGCCTACGGCCTCAGCCGCCAGCCCACCTCGGCGCAGGCGCGGCGCGGCGCAGGCCGCCTCCGCGCAGCGCCTGAGGCCGCTCGCCGCCCAGCGCCCTCCCGCTGCCGCTCAGCTGGCCGACGGCCGCAGCAGTGCCCAGGCTGGGCGGCGAGCCGCCCACGAACATCATGCCGCTGTCGGCACCTCCTCCGCTGGGGCCTCCGTTAGGCGCGCCTCCAGCTGGACGGGCTCGCCGATGAAGTGGCCCTTGGTCGGGTGCTTCCCCGCCTTCATCCTGTTCAGCCGCGTGCCCGCAGTGGCGTTGGCGATCTTGCCCAGGCACTTTGCCGCCAGCAGGACGGCCGCACCTCCGCTCGCCCTTGCACCGCAGGCGCTGCAGAACACCACGTCGCCCATGGTCATCAGTCGGTGCGACGCGTCGGCCGCCAGCACGGCAGCAGGCGTCCCGCGGCACAGCCCCGCCTCCAGCTGGGCGCGGTCCCTGCAGCGGACCCCGCAGCGGTCGCATGCGAAGGGCAGCGCGCTGCCACCGCCGACCCACTGTGCGCGGTGCCGCAGCGGCAGGCCCACCGCGCTGCCCACGTCGTCGGGCATGAAGAGCTGAGGCCCTCGCTCGCGCTGGAGCCGTGCCGCCACGCGGCGGCCGATGCCGTCCAGGCTGGCAGTCCTGCCATCGGCCTGGCTGCTGCTCGCCTCCAGCGCTGCCTGCCGAGCCTCGGCCTCGCGAGGCCGCTTGTCACCGCCTCGAGCCAGCGTGCCCTTCGCCGTGAAGAGCTGCCGTCTGCGCGGGGCCGCCTGCCTGCGCGGCTGCACCAGCGGTGCGTCGTCGCTGTCCTCGTCGTCGCGGAAGGCCAGGCTGCTGCCGCCCTGGCCGCTCCGCGGGGCGACCCGCGCTGCCCAGCCGTCCGCCAGGCCTTCGGGGTCGCCGCCGCTGGCCTGGCTCGCCGTCCTCTGCTGGGCCCAGCGGGGCGAGGCAGGGTCGGCCTCGCCCCTGCTGACAGCGCTGTCACGCTGGGCCAGGTCCTTGCCGTCGGTCACGTCGTCGGAGCCCCCCGCCAGGCCTGCGCTCCCAGCTGCCGCCGCGAGCGCCGCCGCCGACAGCACCGTGGCCCCGCGCTGTGGCGACTCGCCTCCGCTGCTGTCGCCGTCCTGGTCGTCGTGCGCCACGCTCAGGCTCGTGCCGGCTCTCCTGTCGGGCTCGGGCACTGGCTGCCCGCGTGGCTGGGTGCGGCGGCGCTTGGCGGCACGCACCATGCCGTGCTGCTCCTCGTGCCTCGGGGCCCTCGTCAGCAGCTGCTTGCCCGTGGTGTCCCTCTGGCTCCCGTTGGCTAGCACGCACGCCTGGGCCACCCAGCCAGCCATGCGACCCACCGCCCCTTGCTGGGAGGCGAAGCGCTCCTCCTCGACCTGCGAGCTGCAGGGGTGGCAGGCCGCTCCCATCTTGGCCTCGGTGTCGGCGGCGTGGTTGCCAAGGGCGAGCCGCCGCT